CCGCTTCTCCCAGACAATAACATGATTATCTGACCCACCAGATACCAGCTGGGTTTCCGGACCTGCAGAAATAAACAGCTTATGTTTCTACAAGTTCCTTTGTTTGTATTTTATCTAACAGTGACAGACAATTGAATAATGTCTATGCATGAAGATAAAAAAAACTTCACACTTTTTCAAACCTCTGAAACTGAAATATCTGTCAACAGCCTATTTGTCATTTCTTAATGATGGTCAAAGTAACAGACTTACTGCAGTCTTGTTTATGAACCCACTGGACAGCATTCACTCTTCCAGTGTGTTTATTCAGCACCTCAACAATCCTTATTTCCTGATAACAATTAATAAACAAAATCTAGGTAAGACACACCTGTCACACTTTCACAGTCACTTGTCACAGATCTTATTTGACAGTTTATCAAACACTAAAGACATTTACTATGAAACTACTCGATCAGAAGAATGTATACTCTAAACACAGGTTTGAGTTCACAGTCTGCACATCACTGCATTAAAGAATCGGAACTTGTAAGTGCATATGTAACAGTTAAGTGTAATAACATGCCACGGAGCATCAGCATCACCTCAACTAAATCAAGTGAACAATCATACAGTCAGTACCTGTGGATTATAAAGGGCAACTGAATTACATGTCCCAAATGCGATAAGACCTCCTCTGCCCCATGACACAACATTAGGAGTGCGATTAGCACAACAAGAGACATGACATGTGTCTATTCCGGGCGCTGCCATTTTCGACGCTGCTGTGTGTTACAATTAAAAAGAACCGGGAGAATATGCCATGATAGTAGTTCCTGAAAGAGTTATTTAAAAATACGTTTCTCTAAAAATATAGTTGTAGTGGATTGAATAACAATTGGTTTGCATTTATTATCAGATAAAGTAAATTAAGCAAGACACAGTTATGCAAAACACCGGCAGATACCACAACATAGAGTAACCGGATGCAAATGCAGAGCGGACATTTTTTTTGTGTAACTTAATTTGTCGTCCGGCTTCAAACATCACTGTTTAGATATGACCAGACTGTATCAGCCTCTCTAACGTTTTTTTTT